GTCGACGACTCACTGCAGCCTTTCGTAGAATTGATCTTTAACTTCGTCATTGTAGTCATTGGTGGGTGCATAACATTGGATGCCGTTCATTGTAATGTCCGCCTTCTTTGTTTTGAAGGATGCTTTAATGATCTTGGATCCATGAGATTCCCATCCTATCAGTGCCTTTTGTGCATGTTTGGACAGCATCAGTGCAACTCCTTGTGTATGTGAAGCAGTTTCCTCTTCATGACCAGAGTATAACAGCAGTTCCCCTGAAGCTAGTCTCAGTTGTCCTACTTGTGTCCAATGCGTTTCACTGATTCCAAGCACCTCGAGGTTGTATCTTTTCATTTCCACCGCAACTTGAAATAGTCTTCCATTCTCTCACAATGTTCGAACGTTATATGTACCTAAAAGAATGGTTGCTCTGGTTGTCAGAAGAGGCATCGACCCCCTGACTTCCGAGGGAACTCGGCTTTCATCAAGCGACGTCATAATTCTTCTTCCATCTTCCAGGGCAGAGTTAAAATTATTTCTTCTGGTGGGCGTTTTTCGGCAAGTTAATTTATAGTTTGGATGGGGGCACCAACTCCCTCCTCCTTTAACCGGGATTGGGACCGGCAGTAGCCCCGAAGGATCTACAGGCGGAGTTAAATATTTGTTATAATGTTACTAAATTAAACAGGTGATCGAGGTCAAACGAATGACGATAATCAAGTTTTACATGTGTGACTACTGATAAAATATACAGTTCAGTAATTTGTGAATAACGCATTGCGACAGGATACAGTTCGCTTATGGGCTATTTAGAGTTCAAGCAGTAGGTTATATAATGAGAGTACTCGACCATCGTACTGTTAATGGGTTAATTGGGGATTTCACCGTCATATGTGAAGCTTATAAATATCAGAGACCAACACACCCGGATGAACTTGCACCAAATTTACCCTCTTAAGGATTTAGTAAATTGTCCAAGAAGACAAACTCTGCGGCAGTAAAACAAGCTCACGACAGTACTCAAGTTTGACCACGACGATAAGATGCAAACCTAACTGAAAAAATTTGCAAGTCACTTATTACAGTCTATTCAGTGGCACAAAACAGCCTCCTTACGTGCAAATACTGATCATCAACAGTCCGTCAGAAAAGTAAGTACTTACAGATTCATTCTCCCGAATTGCAAACTACGACGTTTTAACGTGAACAACTTTATGCGCCGGAAGGGATATCTGGAATACAGCATACTTGCCGTATCTCTGAGACATCTGATTATTCTCCACAGTAAGCGCTATATAACTGAACCCACCTTAGGGTATTACGATTAGGCTGAAATGCACATGAGAGTTTGTCACACGTTGGAAAGCCTGAGTAAACAAGTGCTGGACTCTGAAGGATGCTGCTTCAGTCAAGAGGGTTATACGTTGATGCCATTGGATTCATAAGATCAGCAAAACCTTTTTCACAAATAGTGGGAGACCTACCACCAACAGGAGTAACACCCAACTAGCCACTCGCAACAACTGGTGTAGATTCTTCCCGTCCCATCATGGTTAAAAGTCGTAAATTTCGAAAATTCCATGACTGTTTATTTACTTCCCCACAGTTCACTTAGTGCATTTTCAACTGACTTTTTGATGGCGCTGTCACGACTCTCAAATCGCCGAGGTGAACCGAAGAAATCAAAAATAATAAAAGGATCCTTCTTGTTGTGTTGAAGAGGGGGGTTAAGATGTTCATTACCTGACTTGTGTGATGTTAAAGTGTCCGAAGGAATGACTTCATGGAACGTAGAGTGGAGGAAGATGGGAAGCATCAATAGCGTTGTAAGAATTCTAAGGAACAAACCATAACTTATGGGGCATTTACTATCTACATGATTGAAGCGGGATGGATACTTAATGATCATTTCTTAGTGACGATTTACGATGACCTAGAACAACTAGAAATATTATCACCCAACAATCTATTATCACCGAGAGATCCCAGCCTTCACAGCATTGAAGTAAACTTACGCGAACATTGTTCTCATCAACAGCGAAAAATACAGCTACAAGCGATCATGTTTTGGTGTCGATGGACTAAGGAATATTTATCGCTTCTTCAGGTACCAATAAAGTAGACGTGAAAAGGGAGAGATTCGAGGACTCAATCTTAGTAATCGGAGATGTCTGTACATGTAATAACTAGCTTAGAGGACCAGTAGTGAGATGGTCTTGTTAAACAAGTAGATATTCGAACATAGAGAAGGCAAACGTACGATTTGTTTATAAGGAGATGACTCAGAGTGTAAGCCTGTAATACCTTTTTAGATGCTTTAGTAGATTTAAAACAACAATCTATACCTAAATTCCTCATAATTGCTAAAAAAACCCAAGTAGTTATGAGTAAGTGACAAGTTTATTTATTACTCATTAAACTTAGTAGTTTAAGTAATGGATCGCCTAGTTACACGTACCGAATCCGTACTGTGTAAACTACACCGCAAGTGGATATCACACAAAAATTATCCAAACAATAGGTTAAAAAGCATGACCTATAAGCATGCAGAAAACCAGTGAACTAACAGTCAGGAAAAGGCGGAAGTAACATACCACTAGTAAGATTCTAGGACTATTAATAAAGATAGGGTAGTCCCATAATTGCTTAGCTTTCTAACCAGTTAATTTACAAAGAAATAACTAATATTACTCAATTCATTAAATAATCTGCAGATAATTTTCATCACTAAATTATATAAGAATAATGAAATGACAAAGTTACATATTTTACGCTAACAAGTGAATCTCCCGGTAAAGTTCAACTCCTGAAAAGTCAGACGAAGATATTGATATCTCTAAAAGCATGTCTATGACAAAAATAAATAAGAATGGAAAACAGGATATTCCTAATGAACATCACTTGAAGTAATTATTTTGATGACTGTTCGCCATAAGCTCTAGATCGGTCAGTATTGTTTGAGTAGAGAGCTTGTATAAAGTTAATGTACTTTTCTAATACACCATTAAGTGATGGACATTGCCACAGAACCGCACGATTGACAAAGTCGAATGCCATTTTAGGGTTGAGAAACACAAGTATTGTCGGATGTCTGAACGTGTGTGTATGTTCTAAGAACTGATGAAATGAATTTATAGTCTATGTAGTCACGTCTGGGTTTGAATCCAGCCTGTTTTTCTCGAGTCTGCATTTCAAGAGCACTAGTTAGGCGTCAAAGTATTACTGAAGCCAATATCTTAAACACTATATTAGTTGAATTGATTCCTAAGTGCAGTGTCTTTCCTAAATCCAGTAAGACGCAGACAAATACTCGCCCCACCAGATCATGATCTGAATCTAAACATGTGCTCCAGAATGAGTGGAAATCTTTTATCAAGCTTTTCGATCGGCGGTTGATAATAATGTGGTCTAGTTGAGTCCAGCGTTGAGACGAATTTGGGGGTCGCCATGTCAAGAGATGTTTTTCCTTATGCTTAAAGTTAGTGTTTGCTAGAAATAGGCGGTTATCTGAACATTGAAGTCACCGGGCATTATCACTACATAAGAGCACCTAACTTTCTGAAAGTAAGGATCCTCCTTAATCTTGTCCCAGTGTCAGTCATTGGCAGAGTGGGCAGAGACAACAAAGAGGCAATGGTGAGTTTCCCTACCTTTACGAGTCCGTACTGTCCCGTTTAGTTAGACAGCGCATAAGCGACTATCTACTTGGATCCAGTCTAAGAGAGTCAATTCTGCCCCAGAACTTAATGCTATACATAAACCAGCGAGGTCATGAGAAGCAGTAGGGTTTCCAGATACAAGAAGAGTATATTGAGCGGCTTCTTTATTTTGACATAGTGAAGTCAAATGAATGATGCTAATCGAATCTTGTATGCGCGTTTCGGAGACGCAGCATACATCTACGGCGCGAGATTCTTAAGTTCTAGCTAAGAAAGCCTGTTGCCCTATTTGGCACAATGTTCGGACATTAAAAGCTCCAACATGTAGTTTAAAACGTGGTTTCAAGAGACCAGGAATAGCGTTTCGTGAGCTCGAATCGTTTGCATTAGCAGTGCAGGGCGACAACGTCGGAAGATGAAGATACGATCAATATATACTTTACCTGGACGAAAACCATCCTGTTACTCTTGAGTTGATTTTTCTCGGGTTTTGAATCAGTCAGTTACCTGTTACGAGTATGAGGGCGGATGTCACTTTTCGGCTGTCCACGCCATGGCAGGGTACTTATTGAGAAACCTCAGAAGGAACGGCCTGAACGTGTGACCCCACAACCCAAGGGACAACTATTTGAGGACAGTCACAGTCTTTATGGGAAGATTGTAGAGGTTGGCTCCGCTCTTCAAATCGCAATACGGAAACCCGTGGGGTGATGTGTAGCATTTTCAGGGTTGACCTCTTATAGCCCCTTCTTTCCTTGTGAGAAGGCAGCATTGCTGAAGATGCTGACTGTCCGAGGGAAACACCTCAGTTCTGTCACAGCCCTCTACAGTCAGCAGTACAACTTGGTCCTCAGACTTTGAGTGGTTGCTTTTACTCTTACCGTTCTCCAATCAACCTGCCTGATATGGTAGAACCGAAAATGAAACGCAGTCTCAACCAACATAGCTCGGTTGGTTCATCACGATAGGCAAACCCAATCATCACTTCAAGGTAGCAGGCATACGAATTATTGAGCATTTCGAAATCGATTCAAGGTTTATCGACCCCCCTTGATGGATCCTTTGTACACGCTAACCTCGTTTGAGCGCCAGACACTCGCTTTCTGTCCTCTCAGTGTTGTACACAACAACCTCGTGGCGGGAAGGCAGTGAATAGGACTTCCTCGACAATGACTATATACGAATGGCCATACGAGGAAATTCCGAGGAGAATGAAGTGTTCAACATTTAGCCAAACATTACAAAAACGAATGTACTTGTGGCATTGCAACCTACGTGAACCACCTTAACTAAGGCCTATTCTTCAGTGATCAACCCCAAAAAATTAAGGATTTATTCTTAAATATTATTTGAGAACAATTATTACTTACTCCATGAAGCTCTTAGAAGTGTTGTACTTCTAGGTGTTCCATCAGTAGATGCACGTCCCATCATACATGTTAAGTGATAAGTTTTAAGCCAAGAGGATTGTTCAAATTTATCAGCATAATTGTAAACACCGTCTTCTCCAATACCATAAACTATTAAACCGACAAATAAATACAAAGACATAAAAACTTACCTTGTACACCGGACATGAAATCATCAAGGGAATCAATAGGATACAATATAATATCTCCTGGAAGAAAACGTCTACCCAAAACTTGAATTAGACAATAAACAAGAGAAATACATTACTCAAGTACCAAGATCACTATCAACAATATCAGGTTCTGTAATGATTTTCAGTGAGCTATTGTTGGCATCACCGGATGTTTGAATAGCTGTTCGGATAGATTGTTTTTCAGCTGGAAGTAAATTGAAAGCTGTCAGGAGGGAAAGAAAATCATTGATTTTAAATAAAGTGACGAACCGTCAGCCAATGAGCATTTTATATATCTGGTTAGTTTTTCGACACTTAACCCGGGTGATTTATAAACGCAGATTACTCCATTTAACAGATTAAATAGTCGGGTACGTCCTGGATTAAACATAACTTCATTTGCCTAGTAGAAAAATAGATTAATTTTAAAATTAAAATAATTACGAGATGGGTGAGGTAATAGTCATCCTAGAAGTGAACCACACTTAAAAGTCTCATGTAGCAAAAAAAAACATGAAATATGAAATAAAACCTCCTAGTAGTATTATAATTTGCCTAAGGTATCTTTGCTTTCATCACTTGCATGCTTTTATTAAAACACCTGGTACTTTGGTTTTTCTATCAGAACAATGCTAATAGAAACGTTATCAATGCATAGGACCAGAGAATATAACTGCCTGACTCAGCATGGACGACGAAAACTTTAAATTTAAGGTGAAATGTACATCATTGATAATATTCAATATTAATATTGACCTTTTACTAAGACTATTCATTATTTAACTATCTTTATCGTTACTTCACTTGTTAAGTCGGCAGAATTATCACCCTGTAGCTAATTAGACGATTTACTAGTCACACAAGCGATGGATAACTTATGATCGGTATTGAAGTGGCCTTGAGGAGCTTCCGTTACTTATTAGTGTCATAATAGAGTTATAATTTGGTATGGAGAATCGGGATCAGGTGTTAGAAGTAAGAAATAGGAAGTGAAAAGATTCAGTGGGATTAATACCCAATATCTTTTTCACGAGCTAGTATATACCAATTGATTTCTTTGAGCTCGATTTTTGTTCTTTCAGTACGGTCCCAGGTGTTTGGTAGTGTCCAATAGATAGGGGGCTAGCCACTCGATTTGACGAATTCTAGTCAGTTGGCAGTTGTTTGTGAGTTTGTATGTCCCGTGATTTGAAGTAATACGTTTGTTCCAGCGCAGCAACGCTTCTGGATACCAGCAGCTATCAAATTACCAGGCTGGAAATCAGTTAGTTGCAATGTACAGAATGCACTTGAATTATATGATAACTGAACTATAACTATTGGCAATAACGAAAGCATAAAGTCAAAACAATTTAACTGATGAAAGCAGAGTCTGACAGTGAGGTGCCAAGTTTTGTAGAACTCACCAAGTGTGATATCGGACAAGGACACTCAATAACAACCTTCAACCTCAATATAGTTAACTGCAAACAAACAAACTTTAAAAGTTGTGGTGAAGAAGAATAGCTAACTGTTATTTTGTATATCTGACGACAGGTTTTAAAAATTTTATCATTTTTATTTAGTAGACCTAATTTGAGGATGTATCCATAAATAACCACAGCGCGGTGGCTTGCATGAGTTTGTAGATTTCACACAGATAATTAGTCTTTGGATGTCTGAAAACCTAAAAAAAAGTTTGAAACACTTCAGGCGGGTTTCTTTGTTTTGAATTACAAATTTTGACTCGTCCTAGAGTCAATGTCCATCGGAACGCCTCCGTAATTATCGGTTTGTTGAAGGTCGTTGTGAATTTTTGAAATACATTTCTATCGACTGTTTGTATAAGCTGAAAGGAAAATTTCAGGCGCTACTCCTTAAGCTGCTGATAACCAGAACGTTTCAGCTGTTAAACGTGAATAGTTTAGACGGCTGGAGCAGAACAAACATTTACTATTTTGGGGCTACTTTATGAGGACAAATACGGTTTCAACGTGTAAGATAACCTACCTTACCTCGTCGGTTTAAAATATTCACAGTGAAGCAAATGCTCAGAAAATTTTGAAAATATTCCCTGTTTACAAGGATTTCTTATCTTTAGGTCGTATAAAACCAATATCATCATGCTACACAGAAAAGGAGTGACGTAGAAAGTGGGCAAACAAGCGTCGAAATTTTGAAATGTTTAGGGACAGCCTTGAAATCACTGTCGAGCAGAAGTTATCAGATTATTATAAACGAACCCTCAACACACACGTGAGAAACGTGTTTCTTTAGTGGTTTGCAAGTATGAACTATTAGTAAAAAGTATCCTGTCCAGTGATTTTCAGCTTGTCATATTTTTAGGCCCTGGCAATTCTGTAGTGATATACTGATGCTATATTTACCGTTCATCTAGCAATATCCTATTTCGTCGAGTACGCACTGTTCACTTTCGTATATTTTGTTACGGTGCTCAGTCACGTTCATTTCAGTGAACGTCCAAAGATGAGATTCCGAATACTATGCAGTTGTCTAAGCAGAAAAGCTGAAATCCTAATCTGGTCGATTATTAGTCTTTTAAACAGTCATGACAAATCCCTGTTATTATATTACTACCACTGCCTAGTATGTGTAGTTGTCCTCCGCACATACTGCTTTTTATTTATCATGCACTCCTTTTTACCTATCCCCTAGATCTTTCTTATAACTTCTTCACCTCACCAAGTTTATGTAACACTTTCTTCACTCAGTCGTATACCCACTTGAAATCCATTTATTATCCGTATTTGCTGTTATATTGTATTTTAAAATAACAACAGGTTATTACATCATATTGTATTGTATTCCCATCTAAGTGTTGATTTTAGTTCCCCGCCTTTACAATTTACATAAATAACCAAAATTCTCTTAGTAACAAATACTTGTTTTTCAATAAAGACAAGCTGAAATTCTTAAACGTAAGCTATGATAGGTAAAAGACCTAGAACATAGCCTAGGGGTGTTCTATAAATTACCAAAATGAATTTTTACTAAGTGTTGGCCTTCTATCAAAAGGTCTTTGATCCATATTAACAGCACTAAAAGTCATAAAGTGGTGCACACATGATCTACAGCGAGAACTGATGTGTCGTATTTCACAACAGATAAAGCAGTTGGCATGACGAAGTGTACACGGGTTCGGAGAATGAAACTTTCCACATAATAACCATTATACAATCTTATGCTCACCCTCGTTAGCTTCTTCCCGATACTTTAATGAATTATTTCGGTTATCTTCCGAAACCAAGGTTGTTGTGAACGAAATACCCGTCGAAATGAACTTGAGTCCCAGTCAGTAGCAATCTCAGTTATAAGTATGGTATAAGGGTCGACCAATGTTAATCCTTGCAGAACGTTTTTCAGTGATATGTCGGAACAAATTGCCAGATTCTGTGATTCTGAAACCCTCAACTGCAGTTTCCCTACTGTTCGGTTGTGTCTACAGCCAGCCTAACGCACCAACAAGAGATCTAGCACTATTGTCGGAAGTATTGACGTTTGTTTCATCCCTACCGTGTACAGGCAAGGCTATGTGTGAGGACTTCAACATACCTGTAGTCTCTTGGTTCCCAATCAAAGCTTCTAGACGATTCGAATCATTTATTGCATGCTTACAGCTTGGAGAGTGGACTCAACATGTTAACAGCCCAACCAGAAATCAAAATACACTGGATTTAATTTTCACCAGCAATCTCATTCCTCATACTGTATATGTTGGAAAACGTTCCCACGTAGCGATCATGATGTGGTCATATGTAGCCTTGATATAGTAGCTACAACTATAAAACGTAAATCCGCTGCACTTCGTAGAGACTTTCGTAAGATTGATAGGGAAAACTTCCGGGATTGCCTCAGAAGCTTTGACTAGACTAACTACTTTACCGCACACAATGCTGATGAACTAATAATGTATTTTGTCACAACACGAATAATATATTTGATAAATTTGAACCCTTAGGATCCTGGAGGCCCGGAATTCCTAAGGACTTATATATGCCAGGTCATATACAAAAACGTCTTCGAAGACATGCTTCCAGACTTCATAACTGTAACGACTTCTCCTCAATAGTAAAGATGACTGAAATATATTCACTGTTCAGCTGAACAGTGAATCCTCTACACGTGTCTGCTAGATTACTTCAATGATATCACGCATAAACAAGACAAAGGGCTTCTCGTATCTGTCCTTTTCTTCGACTTTAAGAAGGCTTTTGATAAGGTCCCACACAGAAGGCTTCTCCTTAAACTAAAGTCATTCGGAATCAGTAACCCACTACATTCATGGTTTGCTTGATTCCTAAATGGGCGCCAACAAATGGTTAAGTACAACGATTGTCTTTCATAACCAAGACCAATAACCAGTGGAGATATCCAGGGAAGTGTATTAGGTCCACTATTGTTTCTTATGTACATAAACGATATATGTAATACTATGGGATTTGAAGGAGCATACTTATATGCTGATGATCTGAAAATAGTATACGGCTATAAGCCTGAAGATCTGGACCAAAATATAGCCAGGACTCAGAGTAACATTGATAACTTAACTACCTGGAACGAAACATGGCAACCACCTTTTAACCACAACAAATGTGGCATCATGCATTTTAGTAAGCATCATAATGATATACCACTCTACTTACAAAAAAGTAGGGTTTAGACACATATTTTATCTTATCTTCTCAAACATGAATATCATGGACAAGATACAGCTAGAAAATTTCCAAAGAGGCTTCACCCGGCAACTGCTCGGATGGAGCCATAACCTCGACAACACAGAAAGATACAAACATCTTCGCTTAGAACCACTATGGCACCGTCAGTTGAAAAACAACCTAATACTTCCCTGTGAACTGATAAATGGTCTCTCTTTCATAAAATGCCGCCCAATTATGAACCACTACACTGCTTACAAACTTCGAAAAAACGTATATATACTATTCACGGCAAAACACAAAAAATCATTGCTTTGTAATTTCTTTGTAATATGATATAAACTATTGTGGAACAGGTTACCAATTACTATTCGTATCTGTGACACAATCACCAAGTTCAAGAAACTAGTAGTGCTGTTGTTGGACTCTAAAGAGATTTATCGACTATTCCCGGAACTAACACCAAGTCCAGAGGCACTCTTTTATGGTCCATCAAATATTTAGATAAACCTTAGAAACTGATTACAGACTATCCTCATATTGTGAACACATTACCATCCATACAGGTATCACGAAATCATAGACACATCCCCTTGCTCCTACGCCTTCAAAGTGCTACCCGTGACTTTTCTCCAAATTTAAATTCCAATTATTATTTTCATATATTCAAAGCAGTTTTAGTTTTTATTTCTAATAGACAGACAAATTGAAAAGCCTGTAGACGCTGATCAACTACTGTCAGTTACAAGGAACTCACTTCCTGTATCACTGTTAGTTACTTCTTGTTTAAGTATTAACGGTTTAATAAATTTTTATTTCCCCAATTCATTAACATCCAAACACCTTGCTGCTTACCAACTTTTAGATTTACTCATTAATTTTTACCACTATTTCAACCCTTTTTTCTCCAGCTCCCAATACTTCCTTTTTCCAAACTACCGATTAACTGACACTTATCTTACAATTTATACCATTAGTTTACTTAAAATCAGTGTGATTTGATACGTGGATATTTTGTCCTACATACAGAAGGCGAAGTTTTCTGGTTTGCTTGCAACATGGAGCTGATAGAGAAAGTCTATTCCGACAAGGTGTAAAAAAATAGAGCGTAGGCTATAAAACGTTGTTTAAAATCTACCATTAAACCTAAGAGTGCCTGACATAACGAAAGGAAGGAGGGTGGTGTATCTAACCACCATTCATGACGGTGGAGCGATACCTCAATCTACCCATGTCCGTGCGGTAGAACATTCTGTTTGCTTACGAATCCTTACGATATAGCAGGATGTAACTAATCAGTGATACTGATGTTACTTTTTCTTGTTAACCTCGTCTACAACTCATGTCCGTAACCCTGCACTGGTTTTAACTTCCTACCAAGAAATCCTATCGCAATCAGATCTGGACAAATATACAGAAAAAGAGCTCATTCATAACTTCTTGAGCCACAGAGTTAAAAAGAAAAAGAATAAATAAAATATCATAAAAGTAACAGACCACTGTGACTGATTATTATATTCTGTAAATCAACAGTATTGCTAACAATTCGGTTCTTCTGGATCTACTCTATTCATACGATTAATTGCCCATTCGTTATCTTTCTAGTGAATTGTCTCCATTAACCCACATAAACGCGGGTATACAGTTAGTGTTCAAATATAAAAACGTCTGAGTAAACATACCTCTGTTTTATCCAAAAACGTATGTGCTGAGTCACTGTTCATCTTTAAACAAGAATATTTCCTATTCCGCTTCTCTTCCCCTTCTTTTTAATTCTCTTTTTTCAGCACCTTATTCCAATCCTTATATATTAGTCTGGATATTTGGTTATGTTGTTCAGGAGCTTGTAAATTTATTAACCGCTGAACGTCCACAAGATCTTAGCATATTTAACTCATCAATTCTTGTAATATGCAGACCTGGCCCTACCTACTGTTTTGCACTCATTAGCAGTTCGTCCTAACGCAACCGTTCTAACTCTCGTCAATTATTCGCATTGTACATTGCAGAGTCTGGAAAATTACAGATAATTCTATGTCGAAAATTTTAGCCATCTAAATAAAGCCAATGTATCTGGCGAAATATATCAGTAACTGAACAACCTTTTACAAAAAATATGTTGACAATCTTAACATTTTGATCTTGCATGTAAACTGGCATGCCTCTTGTAACATACTGTTGTTATTTGAGAAATTATTATAATTATTATACTGAAGATACAGCTTTTCTTTGAAATTGTTCACTTATGGGGTTGATATCACATGCTGGTGTAAGAAGGCGTTCCAGTCTTTGACCATTCGAAGTAAAGAACAGAATCACACTCTGAGTTTATTTGATCGATGTTTCTAGACCTCTTCGCATTAGTCCTTGAAATAATTATATCTGAGAGGAGCATAACAATTAGAGATGTTGATAAGCAGATCGTTATTCAATATACGGAATATCAAAATTAGATCAGACTGCGTTCTAGGATAAGAGAAAGAGTCAATGTTTCAGCGTTCTAAGAGTTTGAACTCGCAAAATTACGATAGCGCCCCCAACCAGACATGGCCATTTACTTGGCTACAATACCTCAAATGAAGTCTCACATAGATCGGGTACTTAAACTGACACATATTCTCTCCAAAGCACTTGAATGCTCGATAAAGCGAACCCGAAAACCGTTAGCGACTTACTTACTTACTAAGTAAGTAAGTAAGTAAGTAAGTAAGCAAGTTAAGCTTATCTTGTCAATTAGGAATTATGCACTTAGTATTGGTTACCCGCTTACACCTTTTCTCATGAAAGTTTCGCCTGTATTTCTCTTCGCTTCGTTCCTTTCATTAGGCCATATGGGAAAGATTAAACAGTATTTCTCCAGGACTGATTTGCTGTTTAAACGTGTTCCTACAAAACATAGTGATTCTCACTGCTTATACTCCCACGGGGTCAGATCACCTGCTGACATCTAATGTCAGACAAAGACAGAAGGCCCAAAAATTCAAGGAGGAGAATTTAAATCCTGGAGCACAGTACAACGAGCACCAACCAAACTCCACTCAGTGATGAAGGTCTGGAAAATTAGGCAGCTTTTTTGCTGCTAATAAACAAGTAGAATCTGATGCTAAAGCCAAGGCACGAACCGGCTAAGTAATGGCAACATCCTTGCAAATGAAGAATGTCCGGAACGTAAATGAACTGTCATGTATGATCAAAATAAAAGTCTGCAATGACGAAGTTGAAACAGCTCTATTGTATGTAGCAAGCATTCCGATTCCTACTGTCACCATCTTCAGGGGTGTGAAGCCGTTATAAACATATCTCTGAGAAAAGTGCTGCGGACATAATGACCAAGAGAAGTCAGTAAAATATAATTAATAAGTATTAATGTTTGGAATGCTAGATCAGTAAAGTA